CAATTTAATTAGAGAAAATTATAATATGAACAGGATTTTTTACATTATCCTGCTGCCAGATAACACTTGAGGCATCAGCAAAATTATTTCATTTTTTGTTCACTGAACAGCTGATTTTTTTTCTCCCCCCAATTCCATTTCACAAATTTCTTAAACCTTTCCTCAATTTCAAAAACAGCTTGACACACAATACAGGAAGTGTTAAAGCCCTTGTGAACTCACAAAATTACACTCAAAATTCCTTTTCTACTGGACCCAGAAAGAGCATTTTTAACAAGACTGATTTGTATGACTTGTTAAACTATGGCTGGGATAAATGAATAAAACGATTATTGAATTAAACCTATTTTCCCAATTTAAACCTGCCTGAATTCATATAATTTATTAAACGTGACTGACTAATTCACATTCGTTACTCCATTTTACTCACCTGATCTGTGGGTGTATAATCAGGCATACTGACACTGTCTATTCTCTCTAGGAAGCTGAAAGGAAACATACATTTTTAACACTAAAAACCAACGTTCAAGACTCCAACAATTGCAGTTCCACCTCCATTCATATTTTCATAGATTAGGAGCAATTTTAGGAATAAGATTAAGGTTGCAGCCAAAGTGGGCAAACATAATGAATCACAAAGCAGAGTTTACCTGAAATAGGTTATACTATGGGTTTTTTACAGGGACAGCTTATGTATTTATGTTGATACAACCAGTCAGTACCTTCCAAGGAGCCAACATTTTCTTTTACACCCTGTTCATACAAAATATTAGGAATAATTGACCCTCATGAGATATTGCTTATGCTTACTTCCCAATCTAAGGATCCTAGAAATATATATTTTTCTCACAAAAGATATAGGCCCATCAAGGAAGTGGTATTGAGATAAATTTCTTGGGGAAATGTAAGAACTAGTAGGATCAGCTGTGAATCTGAATTACCTGAGTGTGCAAAAGGTGTTACCATAGCAACAAGATGGATGCAAGACTTAATGAACAGTAGGGCACTGAGCAGGAAAGAGTGCTCTAGCATTTTCCCAAATTAACAATTTAAGAGCACTGTACAAGCTGCTGATGGAGAATTGCAGCATCCAGGTATTTGTGGAATAAATGGAAATCTATTACAGCTGGCAATATATGTTAGTTTCTTAGAATAGTGGAGACATTTGGAGGCAGAATGTAACAAAGTTGGGGGCATTTATTAGATAATACATTGTCACTAACAAAGAAACACAGTCCTTCATGCCACATTGTAACTCAACAGCAATGAAAAGGTCCAACTACTCTTACTGCACTTTCCGACAATCTGGATCTTTGCTGTGACATGAGGAGACTTACACTTTTTCACTGGAAGCCAGACAGGTACTGCATATTCTTTGAGCTCTTTGTGCCTTTTTTTCTTCTTGGGGTTCATAAAAATGCTATTGCCTGATTGTAAATCCCCCTTCCCCAATTACAAGCATAACCATCTTTATTTTATAATCTCTAAGCAGATATACCATCTCTACATCCTGCTATTTTTAAGAAGAGAAGTATGTGTCAGGAAAGAAAAAATGGGACAGAAAGTGGGCGTCCCTCCCCATTTTTGACACTTAGATTAATCCATAGTTTGCTTTAGCCCCCATGGGTCACCTTGCAGAAACACGGTCACCTTGTAGGCACTGTTTTTCCTAGTCAAAGTAATAAAATCTAGGAAAACATGATTTTCAAACAACTTACACAGCAGAGATTTGTGTAATGGCCCAACAAATTAATCCTATCCACCAACAGAGAAACTCTTCTGTATGTACCTCTTGGTGTTTTCCTTGATGACTTCGTTCTAACATGAAAAACTCTTCAAGTGATTGCCAAAATAATTAAAAAGAATAACAACGACCACAAAAGGGATATAAGGCTTCTGAATCTATCTTAAATATTGTTAATTAATTATTTTAAAAGCTCCAATGAAGCATATTCTTTGGTTACTGATATTATTATAATCTATCTTTAGATTCATAAGTATCTTTAGCAAGTTGCCTAGGAAATCCAGCTGACACTTTTTTTGACAAGCAATCTCTAAATGTTGTCTTATGTAGGCAGAGAACTCAGATGTGTGGATTTTGATCCATGCTTTTTTTTGTTCAGTAAGATTATAGAATTGATGTTCAAAAATAAAATGGTTACGTTCTGTGAAATCAAGGAGTAAAGTAGCCAATTATTTTGGCCTTCTGAAACGATCCCACTAAATTCAACAAGAATAGTCTGCATTCTGTTATTATATATATCTCAGCATCTTTTTTTACACTCAAAGAAATTTTAATAGAACTCCTATTAAACAATTGCTTCTTTGGAAATTGTCATTAGAGACACTGACCATTCAAATGTCAGTAAATATATCAAATATATCTTCAGATTCTTAGTGCTTTCTTAAGATTATTTTTTAAGGAAGTTCTCAGCAGAACTGTGTCTTGCGGTGACTATAACCTTTGTTATGAAACTCATTACATAATATTATGAAGGATTTGATATTTCAGTTTGCTAGTCTTCCATGTTCTCCCTCCCTTCCTTGTTCTATATATTTTAAAATGTAAACCATTGATTACGAAATGTTAACTGTCTTGATTGCTTCAGCAGAATGATGGTATGTAAACCCAAAAGCAAACCCACAAAGCATTTTTTCCTACCTCCAGCTATGACAAAACTGACTTATTCACTCATTAGGACACTTTCTAAAAATATGATTTTGCGATAAACCAGTTTCTTGCTATCATATCTACCAGACTTTGTGAGAGTGAAACCCAGGGATGTTGGAGTTTCATAAATTTATTGCTCAAAAAACCTACTATTCCAGAGTTAAGGTAACTCTGTGTTGATTCAAGTTCCAAAAAGAAAGGAAATTGGAAACCAAGACTGACGATGTACAGTAATAGCTACATATTAGAATAATGTCTGACACTCAAAATGCTCAGATGCTTCATATAGACCAAATATTCATTTTTCTCTACTTATATTTTAGTCTGAAAGGCCAAGAAAAAATATAGGTGCTAGGGAGGTAAGTTGTAAACAAGTACAATTTGTGACTTTGCTCAACAATGCTACTGATCATGGAGCACCTCTGTTAAGATCATTTCCTGGCTTTATAGAGCTTGAGCCAGCCTTAACTTTGGCCTTAAATTAGCATTTTTTAAAAATAACTTTTTAAATACTTGAATTATCTTGGATTTTATAAAGAAAAAATGTAATCACTTTATTGACATCCCCAGCTTTCCCCAAAAGTAAGTAAGTAAGTAAGTAAGTAATTAAGTAATTTATTTATGCAAGTCAACCTGTATGATAAATACAATCTATTGGCATTAATCATGATTTCATTTCACGGTGCATAAATATTATTTTGTTTTTTATATGTACATCCCCAGCATTACCAGGAGATCATCATGCCAGCTAGGTAGAATTAAAACACACACACACAAAATAGTTCAATAACAGATGCATTAGAATTAAGCAAAAGGCATCAACTTGGGAACCATTACTGCACTGAGGTAACCAGAGGGCTACTTTACACTGAACTATAATTTTAAACAGGGAAGATTCAGAGCTGTTCATTCCTGTAGGTTTTAAAAAGGGTGAAGATTGTCTATCAAGGCTGCCATTCTAGTTTGATATATTAAGACATCAAACCCATAAAACAAAATATGTAACTGAGTTACAAAATATGTAACTAATCTCATCTCACTGGGCCTACTGGAATGGAATACAGCTGTGGGTCACAATCTGTAAGTTATTTGGCTTTGATGGGGCAGGAAAACTTAAGTTTCTGAGCTATTGCTCAGAACATCACAAAACTAAAGCTGGACCATCTTTCTTGACAAATTGGAATAAAATATATCAATAGTTTTTACCAATATCTGAGAGAAATGAGAGTTTTCCAAAAATGGAGACAAATGCATCAATTTCCAGCACTTTTAAGTATGCTATACTAATGACAATTTTTATTGGACTGACTTCATCTACTTATAAATCATAGATGACAACTTTCAAATTACAGCTCAGGAACAGTAATTTTTATAAGCAACGCCTTGTTTTAAATGGAAGATTTTTTTTTTTTTTTTTTGCAACTTGCCTTACCTACAGGAAAACTCAAGTTACTACAAACACCTGCTTTAAATGGTCTATATCTATTGTTAACTGCCTTTTCAATATGACTGAAGCAGCCTGCAGAGGGCAGAAAACATTGCATGAACGGTAACAGATGACATAATCTTTGGGCAAATGATTAGAATCATTTAGCATTCCAAACAGTTCACATGGAATGGCAAGGTTAACAGAGGCCTTAAGGGGATTTTGCTTTCCAACCACCACTTAAAAAATAAATCCATTCTGTTGAAACTTTTTTTTTTTTGCGTCAAACCAATGTATGCAAGTGACCCAAACTTTAAATATTTCATGCGTTTTGTTCCATTAATTGAGGAAATATTTTGTCATACCATAAGAAATTCAGTCATTAAAATTTAATATTTAAATAGCCCTACAGAGAGGGAAATCTTAGGGTACATAGCCTTGGTTTTTGAAATTGATGTCAGTTGTGTCAGTTGACTAGATTAACTGACATATGCTGTCCACAAACGTACGTAATTATTTAATTGGAAATTTGGGGAAATCTTGTGGAATCTCTCGCTGAAAGAAAATCTATATTAAAACAAATTTCAGTGGTTGAAAAAGTGGGAAAAGATGGACTATACAAAGGAGATAAGGAAACGGAAAGCCTTTTAAGGGATCTCCAATGCATTCCTTCAGAGAGGATCATTTCCTATTGTCTAGTATAAGGATTCCCAACTTTTCTGGTGTCACACAAGTTTTTAATTCTTTTAGAAAACCTCAACCCCCTCACTTGAATGTCTGTTAAATCTACCCATCATTTTCTGCATGCAGAAGTATGCATGAGGCCTCCACCCATCTTACCAGAAATTTGCTGTTGATCATCCTGCCCATGCATGATATTCTCACTACATGCCTACTGATCTTCAGAACACTTTCTTGTCTCCCATCAGTCTACTCACTTCATCAAACTTCCCAGCCTGTTAAATCTTTTGAATTGTTTAAATCAAGTGTGTGTGTCTGTGTGTGAATAAATTCATATCCTCACTTCCCTCTTTGTATATGGTCATATGCCTGCAGGGGCATGCCCCCAGTTTGGTAATCCCTGTTCTAGCTAGACTTATTGCAGAGTAGTAAGGTACAGGTAGTCCTGTTGAATGACCACTCGTTCAGTGACTGTTTGAAGTTATGACAGTGCTGAATGAGGGGGACTTATGATGGGTCCTTGTAGTTGTGGCCATCACAGCATCCCTGCAGTCACGAGATCGTGATTTGGGTGCTTGGCGAACAGCTCACAATTACGAAGATCACAGCACTCTGTGGTCACATGACTGCCATTTGCAACCTTCACTGCTGGCTTCTGACAATTAAAGTCAGTGGGGAAGTTGGCATGAGGTTGCAAATGTCAATTA